TTTAGCACTAGCATCTGATGATAGGTGGGCTACATGCTGATCAATTACACTGACGGTCTGACAAGTATACATGTCTGCTGCAACTGCATTTATTAACACTTCACCTTTGAGCTGTACAGAACCCTTAATTAACTTAGCGGTAGTAGGCATATCCCTCATCTCATCATGATCAACCAAAGACAAATCTGCACTATCATGATCATTATCACGAATATTCAATTTACCATCATCTATCTGGTCGACTTCATCATTATCAAAATCTTTAATAACAGAAGTAGACAATTTTGGTTCCTCCTCACAAATCCTTAAAGGTTCTATATCTTCATTCTGACTAGTCATACCTTGTAAACGTGTGGAGTCAGAACTGTACTCTGAAGCAGTAAATCTATTTTGTGACACTCTACTCAACAATGGCTTACCAGTTGCAACTACAGGCTTCCTCACCCCACCGTTATCGTCACACAATTCGGAGTCAGAACTGGAGTTTACATTTAGCTTATCACTGAACTTGCTCACTGGTTCACAGTTCACCTTTGTATGAACCTCTTGCGAACGTGTAAAACACAACCGTGTTTGTCTTGCATCTTGTAACTTATCTGTTGAGGATGTACTATGAAACCTGTTACACTCACTAGATCTATATGCATTACCAGACATCATGGAGCCTTCTCGATATTCACCTCTCTGAGGCCTATTCGTCATCAATGATTGCGTTTTGCCCTCAGACTGCTCTATTCTAGGGGTGAGATTCAATATACCGGCAAACTTGCTCATCGATTGATGGACACTATCTTTCACTAGTTTCAGGATATCATCAAATTTTGGCTAGATACCCTCATCCTTCATACGGGAGCTTATCTTCACCCACTTCCTTTGCAGTCGAGTAGGTAGGCGTCTTGCTATTACTTCTAGTATAAAACTCGAGTTGGGGTCACTCATGCAATTCATCGAAACCAATGCATTTTTGTAAATCAACAGATTATCCATAAACTCAGTAAGTGCCTGGGAGTCATCTTGTGGTTGACTACCATTACCCTTAACAGCCTCAAATAATTTCCCTACAATCATCGAAGGTCTTCCAAACCTTTGACGTAGTATGCTCATAGCCTCGTCGTAGCCCTCTTTTGGCCTCATAAACTTACAACACTGTATAGCTCTTGCAGCATCTCCAGTGCAATATCACATCAAATACATTAACTTCAATTCATCAGTTAATAAAAAACCACTCAGCATGATCTCAAACTCCTTTACAAATTCTAAATAATCAGCCGGGTTTCCATCAAAACATCGTGGTTCAAATTTAGGGAGTTTGATGTTCCTATTATCCCAGAACGGCGAAACAGTAACATCAACCATGTCATGCTTAACATCAGACACATCGTTACAATTAACAGACAAGTCACCATGACTTACCTTCCTGTTTGCATCCAAGACGCTCTATCCCTTCTTTGACCCAGGCATTGTTGAACTTGAGCAAATTCCAAAAACGTTGCAGATATTGCTTGTTCAAAGGGGACTTGACCGGCACCAGGAAAGATGAACGGTGACTATCCAAACTGTCACCGACTGTCTGAATCCGCCAGCATCTGTTTCCACCGTCAGAAATTGTCAGCCACGTCTCGTAAACCGTTAATGCCCAGCTCTTGCTACGCTGGGACTCACGCTGTTCCTTGAAGTTTCTCAGAAACGCTTAGTAATAACGGACGCATAAACCAAAACACCGATTGGCCACTCGAGAATTCTTTATTGCAACACCAACATATAAAAAATGTTGCTACTAAGGTCTGTGAACAAATATTACAATAATAAATCACAATATTACTTCTGACGGTTTGCTACTGACTTCTTTCTGAACAGCGACCGATGAGACGATGACTGTCGTATTGATGCCTCCACGAAAATTGGGGAAGTTGGTTTTGAGCAAACAACCATGAATTGATCGTTCAATCTTCAACTACATTGATTTTTTATTGACCGTTGTAAGCTGAGACAAGCCAGGTGGTTTTCATAAGCTCAAACTGTGTACTTGTCTGATTTTGGGTAGGTGCATCGTGTCTATGGATTAATGTCTGAAGAGAACGCGACGGGTGGTCAACCGGTAGGTTCCTTCTTTCTCAGCCATCTTCAGTAGGATTGGTTACTTCAGATAATTTTTTGACTATCGTCACTATATAAATGGCGAATACACCAAGGAAAGAACTTCCAGTATCTACGTCTGGATTCATTGAAGTAGCAAAGAAGTAGCAGATACCATCCAACCAGGACGTTGATTAGCTGGCTGCATCCACGGCACGAGACTTACAATTAAAGCAGCCTCTGACATCTTGTGCTCGCCCCACGACATGTAAACTTAAGGTCAGTGATTATTCTGACTCAGGAACAAACGAGATGAGTCAATACATCAACCTAATGAACGTCCTTCACTCAAGTGTATTTTCCATTGATTGTGTCTGACGATCTCTGGAAATTTGTGTGGGGAGTTTGGATCATGTACATATGATATTGAGTGCCCTTTTGCGTACTCTGAGAGTAGGCATACTCCCACCAATGCCTCAAATCAATGAATTGAAAAGACCTAATGGATACAGTCAGGGAAAAGCGGAAGCATGAAAATACACTTGGGAGCCTTCACGATAAACGAAGGAACGTTCACACTAGCTAGGTGTTACAAAGAATGACTGTTACTATTGCAAACCAGTTAGATGATTTCCTCAGTGCCTGTTGACACACTACAGATAAGTCACAAGTCGATAAAAAAGTTTTCTCTACTAATAATTTAACCAGCAACAGCTCCTTCCTCAAAACTATAGAGTATACTGGCAGCTGAAAATGTGTGATGTTAGTAGACTCTGAAGTGGCCTGTTCTGTCACACATGCCTCATATGTGCTAGAAACTTCTAAGTCCTCAAAAAGGACTCTTCAGTTGCTGCTTGCTACATTCAACGGAAGTTGCATGCAGTCCTAAATGGGTAATCCCACTACCACGACAACTGATGACAGTGTCTCCTGAGAATTCTTGCGTAGTATTTGCTCAGGTACCATGACAATTAAGACTGGGAGTTGGTCTGTTAGAATAGCTGTAGTGGGTAACCAACTGTGGGTCCTCACTTTGAATAATAACTTCATTCCATTTTTGAAAGGAAACGAAACAGGACAAGGCACGTACAGCGTAAAGAGTGATACCGAGACTCAGGAGCAGAAAGTGTTAACGACTTTAGAACGTCCGACCTTGGAAAAAACAGATATTATACATTTTTGTAACTCTCCCGTCTTACTCTCCTGACAACTTATTAGTATTATTATTATTACCGATATATATATATATATTATTCTCCAAATTTAATCAGCTGGCTGTCGTTACGCTTTCCTATTTCCGTTTCTGTCTCTTAGTCTGAATAACTTCACTAATTATATCTAATAATGGCATTATTATTATTACTATCTTTTTTCTCTTGTCGACGATACCGGAGGACTAACTGGCGAAAGGATCAACTCCATTCACAGTAGTAACAGTCTTAACACACCTCATACTACAAACCACATATAATTAATCCCAGCACTACTCCCTTTGGAGTCAACCAAAGCTACGACAGTCGAGTGGCGGGACGAGCTACGCGGAAGTTTACCGAAGATCAGGAACCTATACCTTACAATCAAGAAGCGAGCAAAAAGAAATCAAATTGGTTTATACTAGCTCGTAAAAACGATATTGGATATTGGATGACAAACTATTAGGTCTCCATACAGATATAACACAATGTAACTACAGCCTATAACAACTGGCCATCCAAATGACTTAGTACAGTAGATTCAGTTGGCCCTCTCCCAGTAAAATTTAGAAGTGGAAACTTTATACTATTTGTTGTACATCATCTCACCAAATGGTGCCAGGCTATCGTTGTCCCCTAGATTGACGTTTTAACTGTCGCGGAATAAATTTTCAACCAGCCTCTGGGGAGACGGGAGCACTTCAGTTTTACTCAAACTGATGGTCTAACTTTTAAAGTGCCGTTGTCGAAGAACTCTGTAGCATAATGTTCATCTGGAAATATGCGCTACTGCATGCCACCCACAAGGAAATCGGATAGCGAAATCACTTTTCCAGGTATCTGTAAACCAAAGTGATGTCTGGGAATGGGATAGAACAGAGTTGTTATTCAGAAAGCTACACTGCAAACGCCTCATTATATGATTACCCGGAGAGAACTCCGGTTACCAGTTGGTCTGACTTCAAACACGCTTGGTAACGATAAACTGATACTATCAGGAAACGTAATCAAACTGAGGCCAGAACTGAGCAAGGTCCACCGGGACATTTGATTTACCCTTTTGAAAGCAATCACAGGAATTATTAATTCTGATCTGTTGCGGGATTTCATCATGAGCTGGCATTGGTTAGAGAGTCATTGGAAAACCTGGAAGTACTGGACGGCTGTTTCTTCCTAGTTTGAGACTCAGCTCATGGTGAAATCCTGAAGTCAAATCCCTACAAACCAATCATTGAATGCTCCTGATTTCTTAGAATAGATTTAAGTATCTATTGTGCAAACGGAATATCCTCAAGAAATAAGTTTAAACCTTCTGGTTGCTGTCTAGGCTTATCTTTATTCAGCGTATTCAGGCACAACGCAGTTATCATAATCAATTTTTATGACTTTGTTGTTCCTCAGTGGCATCTTGGACAGTCGGTCATATTGTGGTGAGAGCGGGCTGCTAGCCAAATTGGTAGACAATTATTTACGTCAATTTTTGTGTGGCAAATATTGGTCGTGAGAAAATATGAACTCAATAACCAATCAGAGCAGACTTGGCACAGGCAGATACAGTTATGTTTTGTTAAGGTATGTAATCAGTCATGAGAGCGTCGAAAATTTTCAAAAGAGAAATCCTTTCATTACTGAACGAGGTGTATTCATAGTGTGAGTGATTGGATTAGCAGTTAATATAACAATGCATTTTCGTTTTGATATCCAACCACTATATTCTCCACAACGACATGTTTAATTCTTAGCCTTTTTCAGTTCATCAGATTTCTTAAATATCTTGTCACATCCTTTAGTTCTGTTGAGGTATAAAAAACAAAACGAAAAATTAATTTCACCAAAATCCCCTTATCGAGTAGAATCATATTGTATTTTAAATTGTCAGGTTTGATGAAAGCTATAATATCTGGCTACAATGTGAATGGTGACCAGTACTTTTCTATTTTCGTTGGAGAAATCAAAACATCTTGTTAAGTTTATATTTCCCGCTTATTGACACTAGTCCCTGAGGCTCAAGGACAAACTTATTTGAGAAACTGCCTAATTTCAATTTCTTACCTACGAGCATAGAGCATCAATATTAATATTCTCAGCTTAAGTTGGAAATGATATCAATAAGTTATATCATAGAACATCCAGCAAAGAATTGCTCTCGGAATGAGGAAACCATTTCAATAGTATTAGTGGGTAGTGGTTAGGAGGTGGAATCGTAGCATTAAATCAACTTGCCTTCTCAAATTACTTACATTTTGATAAATTATCTTACCAAGTAATAAGTTACACAATGTATGTTAAATTATCATTGAACTCTCAAAGTTAAACTTATATTAGTGCTGAAGCAGCGCGCTCCTTGAATAAGACGTGCTTTTCCTCCCTAACCGGAAATATCTAATTTTGTGAATTATTCGTTTGGGAAACCTGATCTTCCTATCCAGCTAATTTTTATTCAACCATTTCTTCCTCACCGAGCCTGTGTGTGGTACTTCCCGCTGTCTTGAACTACTGCCAAAGCTTCAGGTGCTACTTCTGTAGCAACACCCTCCTCACTCTTTCAAATATACAGGACTTGTGGGTCTGTTACGTGATTGCTGTGAAACCGAATAACCCGAAAGTTCCAGGTAAAGTCTAAAGCTTTTACTTAAATACTTTATCCTTCTTTTCTGTGTTCTCTATTGTCTTTTGCTGTAAGTCTATTGGACAAAATAACAGTCTCTTATTATATAATCACCAGTATTAATTTAGGAGTAAAATGACAATAGATTCTCAACCTAAAATAAGTAATGGGACATCATACTCTGTAGTTACCAGGGCTTCAGCCAAACTAGGCAAACAGGAGAAGGTGATGGACTCACGCATACTGGTCCTGAAGACCAGGGCTAATATTCTCAGCTCGTACAGATTACCCATGTCGCCACAGTCCTACAGTGAAGCTGTGCAAAGTCAGCCAAGTGGATGTGGCTCCACCCCTGTTAACACGACTAGGTTAACAGATCCGAGTGGGAAAATTGCACTAAGAGAGAACTTCATAACATCCATCCCCATGGTAGACCATGAAACAAATAGGAAGGCCAAAAAGAAACGTTCACGACGTCGCAAGACGACAAGAACACTCCCCAAGAAGACAGACGACTGCAAGGTCTGTGCTTCTGTTGTCGAACAAGCAGACTCTGCTTTCGAATGTAACTTTTGCAACCGATGGGTGCATTGCAGATGCGACAGTGGGGTACCAAAAGCATATTATGACTTTATGCTTAAAAACCCATGCCAATGGTTCTGGTACATATGCCCGAGTTGCCGTCCTGATGTAGCCTCGCGTAGTCCTTTGAAAACTAAAAATGGCACAGAAGTAGCGGGGAAAATGGTGAAAAGCTCGACCCCCACCAATCCGGAAGTTAGTACAAACGCGCGTAAACCGGGGATACCAAAATCCTCACCGGTTAAACTTGTAACTCTTGCCATAACCGCTCCAGACACAGAGGCTGGAGAACCACGGGTTTCCGTCGTTGGAAAAAGACCCCAAACGTCTATCAGTAATGCTGGCTATAGCACTGAGACACATAAAAATACCCAGTCGCACCGGTCAAACCAAAACGGTCTTACAGGTGATCACAAACGTGCGAGGACCGAGCCCAAGCCCACGGTTAGCGGATCAAATTGTGTAATCCTCTTTAATGTACCAGACTGTAGCAGTAGTCTGCTGAAAGATAGGGCCCTATTTGATCAGGAACAGTGGTCCATCTTAAGTAGCACACTGGGTTTGGATATCCAACCAGTAAATCTATGCAGATTGTATAGGAGCACTGCTGCACCTGAAGGCAAACCATCCCCACTGAGGGTAACATTGGGCTCTACTGAGGATGTTGAAAAAACGCCAACAGGCCGGTTCCTGGGGAATTGGCCAACTAGTTCGTAGGATAACTCCTCAACCGATAGCCAATATCAAGTCAACTACCCCCCAATACGGGGAAGTGGTGAGACTGACTACCAGTTGCCTGTATAGTAATGTGAGAGGGCTAAGAGGCAAAATAGCTGAACTTAGACACCTACAATCACAACTGAACTCCAAAATCATCATACTGACGGAAACCTGGCTAACCCCTACGGTGGCAGACAGCGAAGTCAGTATAAATGATATGGTCCTAGTCAGGCGAGATAGGGACCTGAAAGAAGGAGGTGGAGTCGCCATATACGTCGACAAACAGCTCAGATGTGTTCACGCGATGGACCCTCCCCTCACAGAGCTCCCTGACTCCATATGGTGCCACTTCACCGTTGGGTACTGCAAATATCTAGTGGGCAGCATTTATCGATCACCTTCATGTGGAGCAGACCACAACCAGGTACTGCTAAATACAATCTCAGCAACTCAAGACATGGGTTATGATCAAATTGTCATAGCTGGTGACTTCAATGCCCCATCTCTTAACTTGGTGTCGGGAAAAGCCCATGATAGATTTGATCGAAATCTGCTGCATACCATCAGGAAGGCTGGATTCACTGAAAATGTCAAGATGGATACTAGATGGGGCCCTGATGGGAAGTCTTCTAGACTGGATTACGTGCTCACTAGTGACCAGCTACTAGTGGAAAACGTTCAGATCACGACTCCCATAGGTAGTAGTGACCACGCGGTCATAGTATTCGACATAGTCCTCCGCGAGCGCTTACAGTGGGACAATACACAGCCCTATCTGTGTTATAACAAAGCCAACTACACCAAAATGCGAAGACTTCTGTCTGAAGCAAACTGGCCTAAAAAATGGACAGAGCTAACAGTAGAAGAACACTGGAGAGTGGTAAAGGAAATCATTCACCAGGCGGTCTCAGACACTGTTCCTTTAGTCTCACCAAAAGCTAGGAAGCAACGATCATGGCTGAAAAGGGGGACACAACGCCTTCTGCAGGTGAAGCGAAAAGCCTGGTTCGCGTGGCGACGATCGAAGAGTCAACCCGAATATGAAGTGTACCTTGAACTCAGGAATCGATGTAACATACGAGTCCGGAGCGATAGAAGGACATTTCAGGGAGACCTCGCCAATAAGCTTCTCGTGAACCCCAAAAGCCTATACAGGTTTATGGCCGAAAGAAAACCGACCAACCAGGGAGCATGCAATCTAGTGGGTTCTGATGGGAAATCTCTTACTAGTCTTGAAATGGCAGAGACATTCAGCCTAGCCTTTCACAGGCAACTAAATAGTAACGAGGATATTACCCCTACAGAACATCCAGATTACATCGCAGAACCAACACACGAAAACCTGCTGGGGACATTTCAAATTACCCCGGCTATGGTACTTGCAAAATTGGGAAGGTTGGCTTCGGGAAAGTCTCCAGGTTGTGATGGCATCAGACCATCTGTCCTGAAGCAGTGTTCAGAAAGTCTCTGTCAACCCCTAAGTGATCTGTTCCAACACTCCCTTGATGTAGGGAAACTTCCATGTGAATGGAAACGTGCAATCCTATCCCCTATCTTCAAGGGTGGTGACCGGCAGAATGTGACCAGTTACAGACCAGTTGCTCTACTTCCAGTGATATCGAAGATATTGGAAAGTCTCATTGACGACCACATGAGAAAATACTTCGATGGGACTAACCTTCTTCACGAAGCACAGCACGGTTTCAGGAGGGGAAGATCCTGCGTGACGAATCTTCTACTAGCCTGGAACGATTGGACACTATCCTGGGACAAAAAGGTACCAGCCCACGTGATCTTTCTCGACTTTGCGAAAGCATTCGACACAGTTCACCATGGTCTGCTCCTTCACAAAATAGGCAAGGCGGGAGTTTCTGGAGCACTTCTCGCATGGCTGAAAGATTACTTAGGCGAGAGAGAATTCTGCACCAAAGTCAACCGCATCCGATCATCCTGGCACACCTCGGCATCAGGGGTTCCTCAGGGTTCTATCCTAGGGCCGTTGATGTTTTTGATTTTTATCAATGACCTGCCCCCCAACTAAACTGCTCTGCGCTTCTTTACGCTGACGACGTAAAGATTTGGAGAGCAATAAACTCATCGGAAGACTCAGATAGATTGCAGGCTGACCTGCAAACTCTGGGAAATTGGGCTTTGGCTAACGGAATGCCTTTCAATCTAAAGAAGTGCAAAGTAGTGCAGCTTCATTCCGGCAGGTCACAGAGTGTAAATTACACCCTTGGTGGCCAGAACTTGAGTTGTGTTCCATCAGAGCGTGATCTAGGTCTTATTCTAACAGAAAAGCTAGACACCAGTGGAAATTACTCGAGGGACGTCGCCAAAGCCTACGCAACATTACACTTTATGCACAGGCAGCTGGGAGCTCTCACTCCCGAACTGTTCTTAAGGCTATACAAGGCATATGTGAGGCCACACCTTGAGGTGCATAATATCATTGCACCTCCGCTACTCAAAAGGGATGCTAACATTCTAGAAAGTGTCCAGAGACGAGCGACAAAATGGGTGATCGGCCTCCGCAACAAATCATATGAGGAAAGACTAAAGAAATTAGGTCTTTTCACACTTAGTTACCGTAGGCACAGGGGAGACCTCATCACCGTCTACCAAATCCTAAATGACCAGGCCCACCCAAATAAAAGCATCCTGCCATTAAGTGATTATAGGCTTCCACGAGGTAACCCGCTAAGGATAGCACACCAGAGACCAAAGACTCGAGTGCGATCACATTTCTTTTCGCTTCGTGTTTGCCGTCTCTGGAACGCTTTACCGGCGGCCGTGACTACAGCGCCATCTCTGGAGATTTTTAAGCGGAAGCTAGACAATCATGCAGAAATGCAAGGTTTGTGTCTCAATGGCTTATCCTCATAAAATTTGAAACCACACTGTCAATGAATAAGCGTACAAACTAAATCCCCACGACCTATTCTGCCTTCTCTCACTCTATCTTTTCCTTAGGTCACCTTTATTATTCCACTTATCTCAACCTATATTATCTACACTACAACCATATTATTATTATTATTATTATTATTACTATTCTGCTTTTATGACTACACCGAATGACCAACGGGAGTTAGGTCAAACTCCATTCACGGCAGCAATACAGTCCTAACATACTGCATACTACAAACCACATCTCGACCAATCCCCGCACCACTCCTCTTGGAGTCTACCAGAGCTAAAGCAGTCGAGTGGCGGGACTTACTACGCAGAAGCTCACCGAAGATCTGGAACCTCTACCTCACAATCAAGAAGCGAGCTGAAAGAAATCACTGGTTTACACAAGCTCGTAATCAGGATATTGGATATTGGACACACTTCATGAAAGTAGAGCGGATTATTTTCAGCAGCAGTTACTACCAGGCTTCATGAGAAGGTTACATATATATATGTATATATATATATATGTATATATATATATATATATACTAAATGAGTCATCACCAGGTAAACAACACATCCCATCATCATCACAGTCAACTACACACATTCAACTTTAGCATGTGCTCCAAGTATATGCCATGCACATATTTGTGATTATGAAGAATGCCATACACTTACACTGTAACCTTTCGAGTGCCCTTCTTTTCCTTGATCTCAGATTTCTTAGGAGGAGAGAAATCCAATGTGATTACACAATCGTCCACCTTGATTGTCAGTGTATGATTCTTATCCAGTCCGTAGAATGTTGTGTCAGTTTTGACATATCGATTACCTAAAGGGAGAGAGAGACAGGAAGAGACAGACAGTGAGTGTGGTTGTAAGACATTATACTTATTATACGTTGCATTGAATTGTCTGTCATCTAGAGTATTCTGGATAATTTAAGCACAGGAGTTTTTGAATAGTTCAGTTGCAGGGATATCATGATTTTTGATATTTCGGGTATTCATGTACCGATTTGTTATGATCAAGTTGACAATGACCACTTCTTTTACTTTAACCAAATAATACAACAATATAAAACCGTTAGGATGACCCCTCATTTCTGTGATAACGCTTCGTTATGTTCACTGTATTGAACTATATATCAAATGGACAGTCTGTGATCAGCACTTTTAAGTCAATGTGAGACATGAACCGTGTTGAGTATCTATCTAATTGCTTATCCGTATGGTGGATTGTAGTGGTGCAACTACTTCAGTTCCCACTAGGCTACAGTCATCAAATAAACATACTTATTATAAATAGTTTGTATTTATCAACGGTGAAAACTGAACTTAGTCAGCCTATACGCAACGAAAAATGTGAGGCAGAAACAGTCTCTATTTGAATAAAACTGTACATACTACTAATTGGCTAAGATGAGTACTTGCATACCAATCATACCAACCAGTAGCACTTCCTGGTCAGATAGAGGTGATCTAAACACGGAATGGCCGTTTAGCTCGTTTAGAGTTAAGCTCATCGGAGTTTTATCCGGTTCAGCTCAACTCAGAAAGATGAATCACTTCAAACCACTTGATTTCTGGCTAGCATCTTGGGTTGACTGGCAATACCATAAATCAAATTCATGATATGCAAATTAGTATGCGATCTGTATTGTGAATAGTTCAAGGGGCGTCCATATTTGACTGGTATAATGTACACTACATATTTCTGACATCTCATTATTATAATGTAGACAAGCAAGGGGATGATGTCGCTAGAAAGTGTGCTGAAGACACTCTATTGAGAATTATGATAGTTAGTCTCTAATGATTCGGTGACATTCTTACATACATGAATCATGTAACACGAGAGAGTGACATTTACAGCGCTAGGGAGGTATACATGTATACATATGTACAACAGCAAAAGACCTGTGCGTGAATAACTAAACTATGTATAAGGCTTATCCAGAGAGTATTGAAGAGAGGAGTGCTAAAGGTACTCATAGTAAAATACTCACCTTTATCATCGAATTTCATTTCAGCTTGTAGAACATAAGGACTGATCTCCACCAGATTCAGCATCAACAAGGTTACCATGATGAAACTTGTAGTCGAAAAGTGGGCCATTTCTCCTTCTTCTGAAATGAGAATCAGTGGGATTAAGCATCAGGGTCAATGGGAGTCAACTTTTTTTCAATCTATTCATTTCGGAATATTAGTAAACTTAGGCAATAAGTGTGTAATACTAATGAAGTGCAACATCAACTTACAGCACAAAATATACTGGTTAGAAACTTCCTGCTAAACCACTATGCATAACGATTAACATAAATTTAGAGGCACGAATACTTGCCTCATCCCTTTAATATATAATAAACTTACTTCACAAAAGGGTAATGAAGAAGGCATTCAACTATTGTGGGTTTTATATCTTAGATTTAACTGTCAGAATTCCGGTCAAGTGAAAACTGTCAATTACACCTACGGTTAACTTGTCATTTGATGACCTGACACCGATATCAATATCACTCTCACTGCGCTTCCGAATGATCACGACATGTGATCATAAGATCACGATGACAAGTCTCTCAGTCTTTCTAGTTGGCAACATTCAATTTACAATCACCTGTCAGTAAGCACAAATTCAAGATATTCTGTAGTATTGAGTTCGTGTGTACTCCTGACTTCCAACAGTGTGTTGTTTGGGTAGATTTATTCCCATATGTTCTGCTGTTAAAAATTCAAATTTCTTCATGAGATGTGATGGTCCAGTGTAAAGTTCTCATTCGAATGGAGACTTTATGGTTTTTCATTAACTGGTTATAACTCAGATGCTAAATTTTTTTGAAATTAAGTAGAGGTGGACTCATTACTATCTTAAATTTTTATGTTTCAACTGAAGCCTTCCGGAAAAGATGTTCATACGAGGTGAATGCAGAAATGAATAATGCTGATGTGTCTACCATGTTTTGTTTGGGTGAGCAGTGATACATAACCTAGAATTGTTTGTGTAAAAAAATGTTGATGCATGATGGTGACATGGTTCTAATGCCATATAAACTTTGAATAACTTGGGGACTCAGTAACATACCACACTCACTAGTGTGAAAACAATGGGGAAGAAAAAGATATACGGAATAACAGAAAACGATTAGACGGTACAGCTTGAAAATGTGACTTTTCATCACGTTAATTACGGTGGAAAATGGGAAAATCAACAAACTTCAAAACAATATCTGGTAGTTTTCAAAAGTTGGTTTGTAAAGATTAGATTCGTTTTTACGAGTGGATCACGGATTGTTATCAGTCAGAGAACCGGTGAAAACCAGAGAGTACTCGACAACTGTTTCATCCTAGTTTTTTGGGAATCATTGGCGGTACGCACCCACCGGGACTCGAACCAAGGACCTTCCGGTTACTAGGTAAGTTCGTACACCATTCAACCATTGGGATACGACTCGCTGGGCAACACATGAACTCTAACTTCTACCTATTCGTGATTTAGCGCGACCAGCAACCCGTGTCATCAGTGAAAATCCATCCTCACACTTGACTGGTTAAACCTCACTGGTCAAGACTTCTCAGTAGAACTCCAGGAAACTCCGTCCTGTAGCAAGTCACAAGCGAGCATCAGATTAATTTTCAATAGTTGGTTTGCAAGGATTAAATTTGTTTTTACGAACTGATCACGGATTGTTTGAACCCCAGAGAATGCGTACTGTCGATGATTCCCGAACTGGGATTAAACATCTGTCAAGTACTTTCTGGTTTTCAATGGCTCTCTAAATAATAACAATCAGTTATCAACTCGTAAAAATATCTGAAGTATTAAGGTCGCCTAGATTTCATGCAGATTTTCATGGCGTGTCATTAGATGTCGGATAATTCACACTACCGTACCATACAGACTGAGTACATATCGCCTTCTTTGGACTGGTTTCAGTAACAAGAACAAGAGAACAGTTAGGAAGTTAATGATGTAGAGTTTCTAATAGAAGACAGAAAAACAAGGGTATTATCGCCTACCTACTTTTAACACGCTCTATCAAAATTTTTATTTGGTTTCTCTAATGGATTCAGGCAATGCAATATAACAGGCGACAATCTAAGACTTAGACTAACTGAGAAAGGAAGCAGAATTATATGTACCCAAGTGTTGCGAATACGAAATTTCATGACCTAAATAGCATTCCGATACGTTTTGACTGTAGACATTCGAAAACAAAATCTTCATCGTCACAATTACAGCCAAATTCATGCAACTAACTGCAAGTGAGACTAAAGAGTGTCACCACGTGCATAAAACTGGTGCAGTGTAAATATGTGATCAATCCATCCAACAACCATTAAAGTCAAACTCTCTCCCTATAAACTTACTTTTCCGAGAAGATTACAAAGTTATTTAGGTATGACATCAGCCTTATTCTTGTTATCTGATTGGTTATAGACTTATCAATCGATGATTATCACGCCCATTGCATCTACCCCTTTCAAAGGTAGGCATAATTATGGAAACATATCGGAGTGACGTAACACCTCCATACAACCAAATCTCTACAGATAATCTAACTAATTGTTGGACTAAAGTTTTACCGTCATTAACAAGACATTCTATGTAGACTGGATGCCTTATGATGTTTTAGTGACAGAAACAGCTGTCTTAATCTTACTCTGAATAAAGTTCGCTAGCTATTCAGGTGGGTATTGAATACTGATCTCAAGATTTCAAACAATAGTTCGATGATACTGGGTCTCTGGATAAGAAAATATGAAAGTAAAGTTAAATTCAGAGATAGACAAGCTCACTGAAACAGCGAGTCGGGTAGTTTCTGGATGAGAGATTTCTGGAAGCGAAAGTACAGAGTAATTAACTAATTAATATCTGAGTAAAAGTGCTGATAAGATGATGTGTAAAGGAAATAGAAATTATAAGAAAAAGGCGTAAACAGGGATGCAAATTTTCTTTTCGATGATTCATTTTCATGAGCTGTACAATCGCAATTATATTTCACGAAGAAATCTTTAGACCAGTCAGATACTGGTAAACTTTGTCCTTGGAAAATGTACTGCGTAATGCAAGGTGTAACCTAAAAGGGATGATTTATTGTAAGTTAGAAAAGAGCCAGAATTTGGCATGACATAATAAGTGTGAGATGATGAATAATCAATAAGCTTGTGTAGAATAGACAGGAACTAATGGAAAGGCAATAATTTGTTTTTATATAAAATCTGAATGAAAAAGTAATGTTATTAATAAACAGTAACAGAGTGGTAATAAAATGTGGTGATTGACAATTTCTATCTCTGTATTGTTTAAATACTTACTGTTGACTGTTGATATGTTTCTTATATGAATTGCATTCTAATTCCGCTAAATACAAATTACCGATTGCTGCCCTCTCTGGGTTTTGATTAGATTCCTATAATTCCGTCATCCCGGTATATTAATATTTCAATTACAATAAATTACTACAAATTGGCGTCGCGATGGAGCTAAGTAACCTGGGAAAATTTCCTCTTAATGGTTCTCCGCGGGAGATTGCTGATTATTTGGAATGCTTTGATGCGTGGTGCATTTCCAAGAATGTTCGGGATGATAAAATACCTGCTCATTTCATAACCGCTATTGGTCTTGATGCATATAGCCTGGTGAAGAATCTGGCGTTTCCAGATAAACCCATTTCTATGCCATATGCTAAGCTCCGTGAACTTCTTATAGATCACTTCCATGTAACTACTTTTGAGACCAGAGAGAGGGCTCAGTTCAACAAACTGGTACGTTCTCCCAATCAGAAGATAAGAGACTTTATACTACAACTCCAAATTCAAGCCTCAAAGTGTAATTTTGGAGATCAGCTGCATACACAACTACGTGATCGTCTAATTGCTGGAATCAACATTCCTAAATTAGAGAAAGAGTTAATTCAGATTCCTTCTTGTACGTTTCAAACTGCTAAAGAGGTATGTATTACATATGAAGATGTCAATAATGAATACTCTGCTCCCACTACGTCAGTGTCTGATGTTATGCTTTCTAAAGTCGAAAATACAAGTGGTAATGGAAAGCAATCCAAACTGCCATCCACAGGTAATAGAATGCAGCCAGAGATCAAAAACATTAAACCGTGTTTATCCTGTGGAAAGTTACATCTACGAAGCACTTGCCGTTTTCGGAGTGCTAAGTGCTATAAATGTGGTAAAGTTGGACATATCAAGACGGTTTGCAGGAGTTCGAGTACTTATGTTGCTCAACATTCTTATAATTCTCCCAAGCTGTCTAGTAAAATGGAGTCTATGTGTCTTTCAACTTTTCAAAATACTCAAGCTAATCCAACGAAAACCTCCACTGCAAGTTCAGCAACGCAAGTATCAACTGTATTCAAAAATGAGGTAGCCAAGTTGCAATGTGAACTGTCGAAAGCACGAAAAGACCTGAATGAGATGAGAGAGCAATTGAATAAAATTGAGGAATTACTGCATATGCATAGACTACGTCTGGTGAATCCAGAGCATACAAGTTCTTGTGAAAGTCCTGCAAAACTATTCAAATCTCGAATTCTCAAAAAGCATCTGATGTCCACTACTTCTGATGTACATTATTACAAAGATAATAACTACAGACCTTCTGTTGGAATTATACTACAAAAAATGGGAAATCGAGTGGTGAAGATATTAGACATCAAAGATCACTCAGTTCATAACGGACACCTGGACAAAGTGACAATAAATGAAGTAGGTCGTTCCAATTATAATATTATTGATTCCGCTAATAATCCTGATTTTGTAGATAATTCAGAAATAAGTCCAGATAGTACTGATGAAAATAATATCACAGAATCAGTCAGGTCGAAGGTACTTGCAAGCAAACCGAGACATCGTTATAAATACGCGAGGAGATATTCGAGGTGTGGCGGATGTGGTGATTGACAATTTCTATCTCTGTATTGTTTAAATACTTACTGTTGACTGTTGATATGTTTCTTATATGAATTGCATTCTAATTCCGCTAAATACAAATTCCTGATTGCTGCCCTCTCTGGGTTTTGATTAGATTCCTATAATTCCGTCATCCCGGTATATTAATATTTCAATTACAATAAATTACTACATAAAATAAATGGAAATTAAATTAAATAGCTTTGAAATGAGAATAACATAGGCAGTATAGTCACTGTAGTTGAGTTTTTCACCTATTCATGTATCAATTAAAAGAATCTGTCAAAGGTCTGTATGTATGTCTTATCTACTTGACTTTATTCAATGAAAAATAACTTCAAAAGATATTTAGGTGATAAACAGGTAACCCCTAATTGAAAATTACATTTATCAGCCCCTTCCCCTAATGTGTGTTGATGAAGACATATTGTTGAAAAGAATCTTGTTATAATTAACTGCGGGAAAACAGAATACTTTTGGTTGGGGAGTTCTCTGAAACAGAACGGGAATAGTTCTTTTGTAAACCCAAGTAAACTGCCAAATTAGGTTGGTATGTTTTATGTCTAAATTCAATAAATCCTTAGTGCTTAATGTACTTATGACAGTAGTTATTAAAGTAATGTCAGATTGTAAGATTGCTTCAACATTTCTGTGAGTGAACATTTCAATCAATTGACCAGAGGTTAAATATAATTCATAAACACATGAACTATGAGAGTATAAATAGTCGACACTACAATCTTTATTGTTTCTGGGCTTTGTCTTTCGAGTAAGTGGTTATTTGTATGTGTTCTTCTAATGCTTGTAAGATGATGAATGCAGATTATGATCGGTGATCACTGATTCCAACTCACTAACTATCTTTCAAGTATTATGAGGTTATTAGTATGAATTTGTAGAAATAATCCCTTTCTATTCACATCGGACGAGGATGTCAAATCGAGAGAGAATCGGGAAGGCGAGAAACACATTCATCAACCTGAAACCAATCTGGAAATCTTCGTTACTCAGCATCAACAACAAAATTCAGTCGGATTTTCAATACAAACGTCAAATCAGCTCTTCTTGGCGGGCGGGTCACAAAGAATATTTCCAACAGCCTGTTGCTGACCTTCATCAACCAAAAACTGTCTTCGCTCTATACTAAAAATCAGATGGCCGAGCCGGAAAGAATCACCAACAAGAAGCTATGGAAAGGAACAAAAAAACAAGATTCAGTCGCCCAACAAGTATGCTGGACAAAGTGGAGATGGATTTGACGCTCACTGAGAAGGCCACTGAGTAACATCCGCGTCAGGCCCTCGAATGGAACCCGAAAGGGAAGAGGCGAGTGGGACCTCCAAGGGTGACACTGAGGAGATCGTGTGAAGAGGAGTTGAAAGAGTATGGACTAACATGGATGCAGGTGAAAAGTACAGCAAAAGACAGAAGCAAGTGGAGACGTGCAGTTGAAGCCCTCTGTTCCACTAGGAACCCAAGGGACAATAATAATAATTCACATCGTGTGAAGCAATTGATGAAAATATCAGTGTAACTTACTGAAAGTCACAGAAATTATATTAGAAATGTATATTTGAATTAGTCAGTAAAAATGAAACAACAATCGTGAAGTTATTTTAGTCTACATTTACTGTCCGTCATTTAGTGGACATGTGTTGTGAAATTATGCGAGTTCTGTTATTACTACACATTCCACAAAGACAAATTTACAACTGATAAGAGGACAATAATATCTTTGCTCAGCGTACTAAGTTGACATGTGAAGTATGCGATAGCTACATAACGAATGGGCTGAATGAAACATGAAAGTATAGCGGGGAAAATTTGTTATAATATTAGGTTAACATCATCTCAGTGTATAAATCGTCAAAAATCATCCAGAACTGGGTAGTTATTCTACTCTGACTTGTGAGACTTCAGCATTTCATCCATTTCTACAACTTGACAGAGGATCGAGCAGAAAATATGTCATTCAGCAACTGTGTTAGGATCCATTTGTCCAAAATGTCCACAGATATTTGATTCACAGACTCACAATTACTTAGTATAGGCATCTGGAAACTGCTTGTTCTAATACTTCACCCAAGGGGATTTTCATTCTTATATCAATGCTGGCTCAACCAGCAGTCTCGAGAGTAATCTGCCGATTGATGACCAACCCATATTATTTCAAGATATATTCGATTATTACCTAATTCACAAATCAACATATAATATCCACTTATGACAGAAACACAAGACACATATTTTGCATTGATGACACATGAAAATGATGTTCACACTATTCTCCACATTACTGTTACTCATTTATTATCCCACATATTTTAGACAGGAGCTGCTCGAAACAAAATGAATCCAGTCCTCATTGGCCTTCTTCTGTTTTTGTCTTTATCGTCATCGCCAATCATCCTGTCGGCCGATGCAAAAGTCACTCAGATAGATGTTCCACTTGGATTCAGTAAAAACTGTGAGTTCTTATTAATGAATGAATGATTTGAAAGCAGAAATGATGAGTGACTGATGACAGTAAATGACTCAATGAACACATACATGACTATTTCTCAAGTAGAAATAATTACCTAGATGAACTTCACCACAGTCAACGGTTTACCAGTAATCGTGAACAGTTGATGTTCTCATTTACATTTCAAATGACTCAGTCAAATTGACATGATTGTGAATATTTTCAAATGGTTTGACGTTTTACAAGAGTTTGGAGTGAAAGACAGATGTTGACTAGACAACCATTAACTTTTGTCCGTTCATGCAACTCATATTGATATAGACACTACGCTTATTCACAGTTGGATAGATGTCTGAGTGTCTGAGATCATGAATGGAGTGCTAGAGTGTGTAGATGAAAGGCAGCGATAATTTATTCATACTACATTCAGACAGCGGATATGGAAGAGTGATCGGACAGAACTGACAGTTAGATAACAATTCATGACACCAACTCATTGTCAAGGACATTCACATTCCATTAACTAAATCAGTCAGTCATCTGAATATAACCAATAAAACACACTTCAAAAATGCTGAATCAGTCATCGTGTGATTGCACTTTGGTATACACCAGTTGATCTCATCAACCTATGACCACTCTCAACATCAGTGGTGATGACGAAATCTGTATTCATGAGTGGAATAAATGGCACGGTCTCATATAACGTCATTCGAATGACGGGGCATCACAGACAAATACATCGTGTTTTTCATCCTCATACTGTAAAATAAAAGGTTGATAGTCGGGTGTGAATGCATCTGCATACTGTTGATAAATACTCAGGTCTGTAATCATCGAACCAATGTAAATGGCTATAATTTTAGTTTTATCGCAATTCACTTCAACAGTCAGATGATCATGTCTTTCGTGTATGTAAATATGATGTTAATAGGTATGGTATAATGTTTGGTAGACAGTTAGTTACGTTAAAGTACTTTATTTCTTCACTTCACTTCTTCACACAGACACTTCAGGCGCTGAAACATACGCACCCCTATTTTGATTACTGCAGAAAACAATTCCTCGTGGATTTCACTTCCACTATACAGACACGTGTATCTGTGATGACCATTCGAAATAGATTGGATACATTAGACTGTCAATCTATAAAATGAAGAAATCCGGACACGTTTCTCAACGATATGATCAGACTCATGTTCTGAAGTGGATCGAAGGCATTGTTGCTCACTTTTATGCAAATTCATAAGCGGCCAGCAGGAAAAGCAATACTGCAAATATTCCAACTCCTAATAAATCTGTTACCCAACATGATGTTGGTCACTTGCACTAAAATGGTAACTGGCCGGAGGCGTGCTACCATATATCTGATGTTCGTTGCGTATAACGGGGATGGTACAAAATGTAAGAGTGTGTGTGGGTCCTCGAGATATCCGAGTAATATTTAAGCATCTAGTAAGCTACTCTCAATTCTGCCAACTGATGAAGCAAACACACATATGTAAATCTTCTCATATACTTTGAAGTACATTTTGAGAATAAGAATCACCGGGTTCCATGAGTTTACTTATCAACAGTATTCATCTATTATGTACGATACTACTTCGTCACGAGTGAATTCCTGAAGTTTGCCAATGCCTTCTTATCCATTAACCGAAATGTCTGTTCAGTTTAGTTTTACAGATGGGAAAGAAATCTCAACCAGAAGCACGAAATACCTTAGAATGCAAAACGCCTGTTGTGACTGAGAGCAGAGACTGACATGATCTGCAAAAAGCGAATCACGACTCGTCCATGTATATTTCGTTTCATTGAAGACAAAATTAAATGAAGATGTTAGTCGGCGCGTAAATGAAAATATACTTGGTGAATCACATAAACGGCGCATTACACACCATTGGAAATTACAGAATGCAAAGGGAGGTATAGGGAAAAGACAGAAATTTGACAGGTACAACATTAATGCAGGAACAGAATAAAACAATACAAACATCAACTGTGCCAAACTGATACTACCGTGAACAACAAAAGTACCTGAAACTCTCCGCCCTAGACCAGAAATACTTGAATATTAGTTGACAAATCTGTTTCAAAGTATTTCCTATGTTGCTACATTGACAGAGATACCATTTGTCACTCTAGAAATATGGTTAATATTCATTCAATTTTGTGATGACTCCATGCTCCTAATATTTCCTCTAAATCTCTCTCTCTCTTTATCTCGCAGATGAAATGTTCATCAAAGTGGAGGGAATAAAATTCACACTGGATGACGACCAGTTGGTAATGAAAGATGCTGACTGCACAACTACTGTCGATCTATCCGAACCCGACCACTTCGAGATCCAGGATAAGAAGGCCATTCGTGAAGTGACAAAGTAAGAGAAAGTGACTAATCAACTGTCATTTCTGTCTGAATATCTGGAATATTTGGAGAATGAGAGTAGTCAGTAGGTGACAAGTGTTGGCGAATAACAGCAAACATCGTACCCACCCGTGAAGGGATTAGCGACCGTCACTTAAATGATACTAAATTACAACTAGACCTTTATGCTATGAATGTAAAAATGGTCAGAAATTTAGGAAGCTGGGCTCTCACCGTAAAACTTTCAGAAATAAACACTATGCAGCCATTATGGATAAGATTTTATTTTGATAAATCACACAGTGTTGTACAGTTATATTAATTGATGACGTTTCGAGCACAAACTATTGCTCATAATCAGTTCATATAACTGTACAACACTGTGTGATTTATCAAAATAAAATCTTACCTATAATGGAATTATACTCTACCACAGTGCCCAAGTTTTATACTTATATCACCTATGCAGCCACTGGTCACAGGTAAATATGAGAACCAAAGACGATAGGTGACATGAATGAATATTGAAGGAAGAAGAAACGAAATCAACATATCTCAGTGGATAAATCTAACAAGTCGAGAACAGGTGTAGTGTATTTGCAAGTCGCGATATAAAGCAGAGACAATAATGATCCTTCGAAAGAGAGGATGAGCGATGAGTGTGCGCAGGTGAGATAAGAAGGATGTGCCACAAACTACACAGACTGTTATTGTGTCATATCAAATCACTTTAACCCTGTCACATCTGTATGTAAGGGGCATGATAGTAGTGGACACACAAACCAGAATGTGGTGGGATGGACTGAGGAATTCAACTGAAATTCACTGATTCAACAAGTCAAACTATCAAGACTCGCCAAGTAATTTGAGCATAATTCAGAGCATGCATGAATTCTATGTGCCTCACTAATTCGAAGACTCCACATACAACAAGTGAGGCACTGATTCATAGGCTGCTCAACTACACGAGGATCCCTCAACAGAGACCATAATCACACATGACATAGTTAGTGTAGCTCATCGCCGAATGCATGGCCGTATTAAAAGTCAATAATCAACATTCTGTTAATAAATCTTCCCCTGTGAGTAGCTAGTATATGCATTCAATGGTCATCGAGAAAATGTGACGAACACTACCATCTACTACATGGCAGACCTTGTAGCACATGCGAAGAAGACTGAATAAATACTCAACCCATGTTCCGAAGAGAACAGTCAAACACTGTTTCCAGAGAGACCAAACTGTTAACACCGAAATTCATAATTCATTCACATTATGAACAACATCTTTTTGAGGCGTATTTCCTTCTACTATTCTCCTCATTATAAATGCCATCATGAATATTCTCCTTATATATTCCAGGATATGCGCTTCATGGTTCACCAAGGGAAAGAAGAAAGCCAGGGTACTGTGATACAAATACTCACAATCGCCATATTTATCCACGATAAATTCACTTCATTTCATTTAAATAAAATTATACCAAATAAATCTGTTGTCATCCGGTTCGCTTTTCTCAATCACACCACAGAAGACAAATACGAGATGAGTTGAACCTCAAGTCTAAACATACATGATTGTTCATTAGTTAAACTAAATCAGTGAACGAATCAGTGTTCCCCCACCTGATAACCGACCGAATCACGCATCTGTCGATATTCTTCATTGTCATCAGTATATTTCCACCACGTTCTGATAAAATCATCTCAGTGTGAAGCTGTAGAACTCGTCCAATATTGAATGTGAAACTAGAGTTTGAAGTGAGTGAGTCCAAGTGAAGCGAAAGTGACGAAGGTAGGTGTGATCATCGAGAAATTCATCGTCTGAACAATGGTCTTAGCTCATTGATTATATCTGCTCATACACATATGCATACACATGTATCCCTGTTCCACAGAGAAACAGTCAATATTTTACAAGCATCACTGGGTGATGGGAGCTTCTCTCCTGTTGTGACCAGAGGTACAATTCAGTGTGTAGAGAGGAAATTATATTTCAAGAAAAGCAGATTGTTTCATACAGGCGTCTTTGGTTTCCGTGAGTCCGAACCCCAGACTGATAACAGTCGAGTAATTCTCGAAACCAAGCAGTCAGTTTTTTTTTTTTTGATTTACAGCTTGATTCCACACTGTATTTTCGGTACAAGTATGGAATTTTCAGCATGGATTTCGGTAGCCCAAATTTCGCAGGCCGACCATAGATATCAGGTGTGCGTCGGTGCGGGCTCGAACCCCGGAATATGTGCATGGTCGGCGAGAGTCCCAACCACTGTGCCACCGACGCACAGTTGTGTGCGTAAGCATGCATTCCACTCCAAATAAATACAGTCAGACTACTATTCAATCAGCGAGTTGGTGACTAGTTCTACAGTTGCACTAATCGTCTTCCATTTAAGCACTTATTTCTGTTTATACATCTGAAGAGTAAGGAAGGACATATAGAACAGGGTTAAATGACGTCACTATTTTTCGTTTGTTCTGTTAAGCTGCATAGAACGGTAAACACTATAATATCAGTTGACAAAATATTCAAATACTACAGTTTTTGATTACGAATTTGATTAGGTAGCATACTAGAAATGAATAAATTTCGTTGGTGAGTTCACTAGTATGTAGGAAAATAATTAAATTGTATTCTAGAATTACGAGTGGACGTAAAAGCTGAATAGGGCTGTAAAATCAACAACACGATTGCGTAAGACCTAAATAATTTAGCTGAATTAAAGTCAAACAGAGATTTGTCTAGACTAGAGATAAAGTCAAAATTCGGGTGGGAAATTACACTGTCAAATAATATTTTCAAGGTAACAACCAAACAGTGGAAAGTGTATTTGTGAATGTAGATCAAGATTAACAACGATTTTATTTTGGATGCGTAAATTTGGTCCGAGCCATTTCAAGGCAACGACTTTGACGGTACGTGGCAACCTGCAGGTATCTTGAAATTTATTCATGTCATCGTTTTGTAACGCACTGATTTCATGAACACCGTCTGGCAGGTGTCGAGCAATTTCTCTACCTAACACTTTTGCACCTTTCATACACTAGTTTCTCGGGATATGCCTACTTGTGGTGTCACAAATTCTTCCTTCTGTTCATCCAATGTATACGCTTTCGTATGTTTATGAAAATTGATGATACGCACTTAGAAGCAAGGTGAAAGAGAGACTTATCAATCTTAGGTTGTCTTAGTGAGCACTCTGTTCTCTGAATTTTGACTAGTCTGACAGCTGAATAAGTTCGCTTGATAGCAGCATTTATTCTATATTTAATTCTTCCAGATTTGTCATAACCTTAGAATCCGAAATTAAGGAAAACTGATGTCTTTTTGATATATATATATATATAATTTTTACATGTACTTTTATATGTCTGGTTGTATTTCCCTCATTCCACTTATGACTTTGAAATCCTATTGGTTGTTGACTTTTTTTGTTTATCAATGTAATTAGTGTCTCTCAAGGTCACTTAAAGCATATATATATTATCAAGAGCTGCCAATCATTTTCTCTGTTGATATGAGACAGGGGAAGCTCTCCACGTCAACATTATGTCTTCTCTTCTGTTCTTCTTGCATCGCGTTTTCGGTGGTATGGTATCGTGTTGCTGTCGTCGTTAATATTGGTCAAAACATTAGGCTAGCGATCAGACCAGATAGGAAATTAGTTAACGCAAGTAAAAGTGTATAAACTGTCATATCGCTTGTATACTAAATCAAATGCTGTTTTTGTATTTGGCATCCTGTAGTGTTTGTCGATGAATTTTCAACAATATCGATTGTCTCGTAAACACTCATAAATGCACTATGAATGTATGTTTAGTCTTCAGAAATTCGTGTTACCAACAAGTAGATGGAATCGCTGTAAGTGCAAAATCAGGCCAAATATTAGCTGACTTCTTCCTCGCAAAACTTGGTAAGGGGAAATTGAAAGACATCATCAAGGAGTTTGATATGTGGTTGATACATTCATCTTAGCTGATGGGAATGTAAACAGAAGAATTTTTGCTGAAATTCAACAACGTCCACCATTCGTTTACTTTCTCTTGTGAAGCGGAGCAGGATAATCAGCTGCACTTCCCGGTTATCATGCTAAGTGAGCGAGAAGATGAGTCACTGGAAAGAAGAAGCGTGTATTGATAAAGAGCGTTCAAAGGACACTAGATGCACTTCCTTAATTATACGTACATTAAAAAATATAAGAGAAATATTGTTGTATCTCATGGCTACAGTATGAAAAATATGTACGATGGTCGCTTACAAAAAGGATTTGAATACGTTGATGACTACTTGATGAAGGCTATCTGAGTAGTTTCATAGCGAAACACAGAAAATTATTGGACTGAAAACCTGAGACAAATAAAGCTAAGAAGAAACAACTGCTTATCAAGTAATAGTTTAATGGAGAAATTTAAAATGGGAATTTGTCAGATGAAGAACATTTCATGCAGCATTCTTATGTTTGCCATTCACCAGCTAACGAAAGCTTAGGACTCAAATGAATAACAAATAAGAAAGTTTCACCACATCTGTGCGTATTCATCAATCTAACTGGTGTTGGGGAGAAAGACATGTTGGGTGTACTACTTGACGGCTTAGCCAACGTGCTACTGAACTTCGCCGATCGTAGTTTGGCGAAGGACAGACAAAAATCATCCTCAACTACTTTTTGCCATATTTAGCTGATGGTGGTTATTTAGTAGAGAAAACGGAAGCATTCAAGGGGATTCATAGCGTCTCGTCGAATATTTCCAACGGGCTCCATATTCGTCTACTGCACAGTGGTGAGGCGTCAGGCATCCGAACTATTTAGCCTAAAATATGTGTTCAGAAGAAGTTCGTGCAGCCTTAGTTAGTTAAAACCGAATCAACCATATGATGTCACCACCACTTCTTACTTACGTTTTTAATCACTTTCTTATCATCCCTTAATCTTATCATATCTTCATTAAATTAGTTTGTTTACTTCCTCAACAATCTAGGATCTAGGATGCATCATCAGTATGTCTCTTGTAAATAGTTGTATCAGTCATTGCATGTTTCAAAGGTACTTTATAAAAATATCCACTAAGAAGCGACCCAATGGACTGATCACTGCAAATCCACCACTCTGGCGGTACATGATACTATGGAGCTTGGACTAAACATTCTCGCTGCGCATGACTAGAAGGTGCTTTAATGGTTGTTAAGTAAAAAATCAAGCCAGAATGCTGAAATATAATTTTTCTAGTTCATTCCAGTGGGATGTTTGTGAATAATGAGGACACATCAAATAACGCTATGAATTTATCTATAGTTAGCTCTTCTTATCATAAAATCTCTAGCTGGTTAGTTAAATAGTTCGAGTCTATTCGTGCACTGTCAAGTGGTCAGATGATCTTGTTCACCTAAAGTGTGAAGTTATTTCTGAACGCGGAATAGTGGAAATCTACAAATCATACATTTTTCATAGCACATCCTCGAGAGAAAATTCTGAATTGTATGGAGGATTTAATCATGAGCTGACATCAATTAGAGAACCACTGGAAAACCTGGGAGTACTGGACAGCTGTTTCGTCCTAGTTTGGGACTCCTCAGAAGTACGCACCCACCGGGGTTCAAACCCAGGACCTTCTGGTTACAAGGCGAGCTCATAGACCATTGAGCCACTGGGACCCGCGCTATGTCGTGAATTGGCAGAAGTTAGAATTCAAGAACCATTGGATTGGGTCCCAGTGGCTCAATGGTCTACGAGCTCGCCTTGTAACCAGAAGGTCCTGGGTTCGAACCCCGGTGGGTGCGTACTTCTGAGGAGTCCCAAACTAGGACGAAACAGCTGTCCAGTACTCCCAGGGTTTCCAGTGGTTCTCTAATTGATGTCAGCTCATGATTAAATCCTCCATACAACCAAACCAAATCCCTACAAAACCAATACTTGAAAATTCTGAATTGTAGTAAAATGCAGCGAAGTAATTCGAAAATTTCTCGTCTTTGCCAGTCGCATGTTGAGAAAGCAAAAGAAAAGCTGCAACAACTACCTCTGATTCATACATTTATTCTCTCTCTCTCTATTTTATCGGAGTTATTTCTAATATGTTACATGAAATCCACTGCTCTCTGTGCATCCTTTGCTGTTAGAATCGAAATCAAAATGCCTAATAAGCTAGAGAAATTACTTGACGCTAACATACTTGCAGCTTCCTTCCATTTTAACCTATTCAAATAGGTTGTCAATCTAGCTTCCATATCACTTTCCACATTACGGAAAAAGGTTTTATTACTTGGACCCAAATTCTGTGTTCCTTAAAAGCATTTCTCAAGACTGGTAAACCGAGCACAACTTGAAGATTTATAAAACGAAACGAAGACTTTTGTCCCTGTTTCAATTGACCAGCAGGGTTGGTTTAGAGCTACGTCAGCTGATATTATTATTCGTACAGGAAAGAGAAGCATCATATTGTTGTGAAAACTTTCTGCAAGCCGAAATTGTAGACAACAATTTACGTCAATTTTTACGTCCCGAATCACGG